CAACTCCTCTGTCAGTGTATCTGGGAACTCCGCACTAACTGCATGCTCCCCTAGAGCTCTCCTCAGCTGCGACACATGGAAAAGCGGGTGTATTGTAGCTGTTGAGGGTAACTTCAATCGATATGTCACTGTTTCGATCTTGTCCACCACTTCGTAGGGACCAAAGTACCTCAGAGCCAATTTCTCCTTCCCTTGTTAGCAATTAATTTCTGCCTATAGGGCCTTACTTCAAGAACACTTTTTCCCCCACTTCATACTGTATGCCTCTCCTGTGTGTTTATGCCCACTTTTTTATGATTTGTTGTGTCATCTACAGATGTTTCTTTAACTCCTCCAACATCTAGTCCCTCTCCTCTAGGTACTATTCAACTGAAGAGACTGGTGTGTTTCCTCTCTTAAAATGCATTAAGTGTGAGGGTCTCTTCCATAGAGCACCTTAAAAGGAGTCATTTGGGACGCATAATGGTACGAAGTATTGTACCAATACTCAGTCCATGGTAACCATTTAGCCCACTTCCGTGGTGTTTCAGAAGCAAAAATACCTCAAATATGTTTCCAAACTCCCGTTCACCACTTCTGTCTGTTCGTCTGTCTGTAGATGGTAGGCGGTACTTCTCTTGAGAATGGTGCTCTGCATTCTGAAAAGCTCCCTCCAAAATTGGCTGAGGAACACTTTGTCTCGATCAGACATAATCAATTCAGGAATCTTGTGTAATCTAACCACTTCCTGGATAAATGCTACTACCACTGATACTATGGTGTAGGGATGTCGTAGAAGGATAAAATGTGCATACTTACTAAGTCGGTCCACCACGACCAAAATGACTATGAATCCCTCTGAACAGGGTAGGCCATCGACGAAGTCCGTGGACACTTCCTCCCATATTCTGTTTGGAAGTGTTAAGGGTTGTAGTAATCCTGTAGGTGCCATTGTTATATATTTATTTCTCTGGCACACCTCACACTTTGCCACCTTCTCTTCAACATCTTTATATATCCCCTTCCAGTAAAGCTCCGATGCCAGCCTCCTATATGTCCTCTGTACTCCCGAATAACCCCCAACTGCACTGCTATGGAATTCCTGTAATAAGTGAGGAATGCGTACGGTTGTTCGTGGCATCACAAACCTCCCCTGATGCAATAACCTCTCCCCCTGAAGATAGTATCTCGAATGACTACTACTATCTTTCATCAAATCTTTCCTTATCTTCTTCAACTCTTCGTTCTGTATGTTTTTATTCCTTGATGGCCCCCTAGTTAATTATCAATGGTACTGAAACTGCCAACTCCTGAAATTCCCCAACACATCTAGATAAGACGTCAGCCGCCTTATTTTCCACCCCCGGCCAATACTGGATCTCAAAATCATAGCCTAAAAGCTTTAACAGCCACTTCTGATGTTCCTCAGTCACTATCCTTTGCTCCAACAGGTACGAACAATGAAATGCCTACTCAAAAGGTAAGGGCGTCATTTCTAAATGGTCAAGACTATAGCCATAAGCTCTCTCTCGTATACTGACTTCAATCGAGCCTTGATCGACATCACCTGACTGAAGTAGGCTACAAGCCTGTGATTCTGCATCAATCCTGCCCTCAAGCCATACCCTGACGCATCGGTCTCCACTACAAAGATCTGACTGAAATTCGGATGTGCTAACACTGGGACTGTTGTCATGGCTTTTTTCAACCTCTCAAAAGCCTGGGTTGCTGCCTCTCCCCACAAAAAAATGTCCTTCTTCAATTGCTCAGTGAACGACCAAGCGATGGTACTGTACCCCATCACAAATCTCCTGTAGTAGACAGTCAATCCTCGGAAACCCCTCAACTCCCTTATGGTCTTAGGCATTAGCTATTTATGCATTGCCTCAATTTTTGACTGATCGCCCGCCACTCCCTCCTGAGACACTACATGTCTCATACTCCACCCTATATTGGGCGAAGTTGAACTTCTTTAGGTTAGCCCTCAGCTGATGTGCCTGTAGAATTTTAAGAACCTCTTTTAAGTGCTCTAAATGCTCATCCTCTGTTTGGCTGTACACCAAGATGTCATCAAAAAAGACCAACACAAACTTCCTGACATGTTGTCCGAATACCCTATTCGTCAAAGACTGGAAAGTAGCAGGGGCATTAGTGAGCCTAAATGGCATCACCAAGAACTCATAGTGCCCCTCGTGCATTCTGAAAGCTATCTACTGAATATCCTCCTTCATTCTGATTTGGTGGTAGCCCGGCTTCAGGTCTATCTTAGAAAACACTACTACTTCATGCAGCTCATCTAATAACTCATTTATCACAAGAATGAGGAATTTATTCGGTACCATCTCCTTGTTCAAAGGCCTATAATCCACGCAAAACCTCCAGCTCCCATCATTCTTTTTGACTTGTAAGACTAGTCTAGAGAAAGGACTCACACTTGATCTGACGATCCCTGCCTCCAACATCTCCCTAATCAGCTTCTCAATTCCATCTTTCTGAATTTGGGGATAGTGGTAAGGTCGAATACTAATCGGTGACACCCCATCCTTCAAAAGGATTGCATGCTCCAGCTCTCTGGATGGAAGCCCTTAAGTGGATGGAACACCTCCCTGAACTTTGTATGAGTGGTTTCGCCACCATTGGAATGTATCCCTCTTCCCCCAGACTAACCCTCTCCAAGCATTGTAGCTCCACCAAATACACACCTCCTATCTCCTGTATGGATTTGATCATGAATTTGAGAGATACTTCGGCCCTAGATAGCCCTGCATCACCCTGAATCACCATCCTCTGTCCTTCCACCATCAATTCCATCCTCAGAGCACCTCAGTTGACCTTGGTCTCCCCCAAGGTCTGTAGTCATTTCATCCCCGGGATGACATCAGTACTTTCCAACTCCAAGGAAAGAAAATCCTCTCTCACCTATATCCCTTGAATGGTCAACACCACTCCCCTTCAAACTCTTCTCCCCATCTCCACCTTCCCAGTGCCCATCATCACTCCATATCCTCCCGTGTCCATTAATTTCAACCCAACAGATTTACGATCTGTTTAGAGATGAAATTGTGGGTGGCCCCACTATCGATCAGCACCACTACCTCATGATCCCCTATTTCTTCACCATCATGGTGTGATTCAGGGTGAATCCCACCACAGAGTTTAGAGAGACTTCTGCGATGTCCAGATATAACTTATCTTCCTCCTCCTCCACTATCCCGCTCTCACCTCCCTCTTCAGTTTCCTCATCATCGCAGACGGTGAGAACCTGAAGAGTTTGATCCTTACACCTATGCCCTGACATGTACTTCTCATCACACCTGAAACACAACTCCTTAGCTCTCTTCTCCTGGATCTCCTTCTCAGTCAGCTTCTTAAAATTTCCTCTAGGCCCTCTCCTGCGTCAGGGCAAAGAAGGCTCATAGAAATCTCCTCCCTACTGGTTCGGAAACGTTCTAGCAAACAATTCTTAGACTCCCTCCAACTTCGGATGGGTCGCCTCATGGTCCGCCATTGGTACCATGCCAGTGCCTTCCCTTCTAAGCACAGTCCTGCTGCTATTAGTTTTTCCTCCTCAGTCAATCCATTGACTGCAAAGTATCGCTTCACCTTGTAGATGTAGCCATGGACATCCTCACCTTCAAAGATGGGCATCTAGTTTCCTCACTCTCGAGTCACCCTCGTTTCCCCTAACTCCTCCATAACCTCCCATTTCTCGAGGAGAAAATGCTCCCTAGTGGTCACGATCTTCCCTTCGACGATCATACCCGAGCCCTTCCTCATATTCCCCTCTTCTCCTTTCATCTTCAGCACCCTGGCGGTAAAAATAATCTCTTCTCCCAAAAAAATCAGCACCCCTTCTTTCATAGACCATATTCATATCCTCTCTAGAAAGTGGTTCTAGATGAGACATTCCATCATTCCCCTCAAGGATCTCCACTTCCGGATTCCCCTTCCCCCTAAATGGGTTCGGATTTCCACATTTCCCATTGTCACCGGTGGTTTCCCTTGCTTCCGATGTCGTCGGGTTTTGTTTGCCCTCAAGCATCTTCTTCATCATGTCTTCCAAGGCAGTGAACCTCCCATCCATCTTTTCATGGATGGAAGCGAATTGATTATGAAAATCAGCATTCTTTCCTCAAAATCTATCTTCAGTTGGCCTATTTCTCCCTCCAATACTTCAACTTTCCTTATGGCCATCTTCCTTCCCAAGGTTTTCTAGAAGAACTTCTTGCGGATGAAATTTCCTTACTGAAATTTCTGGATTTAAGCCACCGATGGTCCCAATATAATGCTTTGATACCAATTTGATATGAAGTACTTGAGTTCGCAAGCAAACCTAGCAAGAATCAACAAAAACGGCGAGTAAAATGGCTGATTTCAATGAGGAATCAGCAAGAACAAAGCAGGAATTTTAGTGGATTGGAGAAGAAAACACAAGGAAAATACTTTGATTCAAACAACAAACAAGAAACACAAAGCAAGATATAATTTTCTTCAATTTGAGAGGAAGAAATATTCTCCAAATCTCTAGCAACCCTAGAACCCAAGAACACAAAACCTAGATCTCGAAATTGCATTCAATCTCAAGATGATCCTAACCCTAACCTCCAAAAGACTAATTAAAGTCAAAGGAAGTTTACAAAATACCTAAACAGCCCCTCATTCAAATTTCCCTCCTAATCGCTGTGTAAAACAACAAGTGGGCCCCATTGAGGCTTCCGCCCCCCTCCCTGGTTCCGCCCAATACTGGGCTGCCGGCTGTAAACCTGAACCGGTCCATGCTGGACCGATTCAGCCGGCCCCTCCTGGGCTAGGCACGTAACAGGGTGGGAACGAAAAGTCGGACGGGTGTAACATTTCATTATATTTAATAAGCAATTTAACATTCAACTTCTCAATACAACTGAAGAGCCACTATTACAAAATTTCCATAAAACTATTGATATCATTTTTCAAGCTAAATGACGTCGTTCAGGTCAAGTAGTTAATTGGAGATTTAACTTTAGCTCTAAAATTATTGACAGGCACAAATGCTCTGCATGCTTCAAGCAATATAACAAGAAGGAGCACCTTATTGAGCATATGAAGGCCTCTTACCATTCTGCGCATCAGCCCAAGTGTGTGGTCTGTAAAAAATATTGCAAGACATTGGAGTCAGTGAGGGAGCATCTTACAGGTAGCCTTTTTTAATAATCATCCCAATGATTACGGTGATGTATTCTTACCCTGATCTTATTTATTGTCATTTTTCTTGACTTATTTCTTGTATCTACAATAATCTTAAGGTCCACTTGCCAAGAATAACTGTGCTTGCATCTTTGCAAGTTTGGGTTGCAATGTTTGCCTTAAAATGTTCAATGGTTCGGATGATTTAATTGCTCATAGAAGCACTTGTTGCTTGGATCCTGCTTCTTTTCCTGTAAGTGGACCTTGAAAACAATTTAGATTCATACTTTTTTATAGTGCGTTGCTAAAGCTGCTGCATTTGCATTTATTCTTTATATTTTATTATGTTTAATATTATAGGGACTTGAGAATATGTATGTAGATCATGGTGTACGACATGAAATGGAATTTGATGATAGAGTTCCTAAAGTGATTGCTTTGGACTGTGAAATGGTTGGTGGTGGAAGTGATGGGTCACTTGATGTCTGTGCTCGTGTCTGTCTCATTGATTTAAACGAGGATGTGATATTTCATTCATATGTGAAGCCTATAATTCCAGTTACTGATTACAGGTAATATTTCCTTTCACAAATATGATTTTGATTGTCAATTAATATTACAGAATTTGTTGGTCTTTCACTAGATATGAAACAACTGGTATAAGTGAAGATTATTTAGTTAATGCAATGCCGATTGGAGAAGTTCAAAAGAAAGTTTTGGAGATATTGTACAATGGAGAAGAATCAATTTCCAGAATTCGTTTGTATGGAGGAAAAGCTTGCCTACTTGTTGGTCATAGCTTAGATAATGATCTGGATTGCTTAAGAATAAATTATCCCGACCATTTGATAAGGTAAATACTTCTAGTTGAAGGTACACCAACATAAAATGTTGGAGAAATCTATGAATAGTGGATTTGTGTGATTTCTATAAAATATTTTGTTACCTAGTTTTTTAATTTGAAATTTGCACAAAACTTTAATCCTTTGGATACTTTACAGGGATTCAGCTAAATATGTGCCTCTTTTAAAAACAAACTTGGTCAGTCATTCGCTGAAGTACCTAACAAGAACTTATCTTGGGTATGTCTTAGTTTCATGTTTTTATAGTTATGTTTTGTGTTGGATAGGAGAATATTATTTTGGATGGTTTGCATTTAAAATTTTGACATTGATGCAATGCTTCTATGAAATTATAAAAGAAAGAAAGAAAGAAAAAAAAAATCTTTCCATAAGAATCTTTAGGACAATCGGAGCTCAATTATGATTTTTTTTTTCTCTTTAGTTCCTTACCTGCTTTATTCGGAGCCTCTTGCATTGGGCATGACTCATCTTTTAGCATCCTCCAAGAAAAATTCAAAGTTCAAGATTTTCTTTTGGGAGTTTTCTTTTGTGGCATCCCTTTTCCCAAGTATCCTTATAAATATGGTAGTTGCATTATGATGCAGGCCTTTTCATTTTATGTGGATAATTTATACATGCTATTTATGCTGGCCGATAATAAAATAAATATATTGGCGCATAAAATTAGTTTGCAAAGGAGTTAAAAAATTATGCTTTTGATCAGCTAACCATATTACCTGTGGAAAAGAAAAAAAGGAATCTAAACTATTACTTGAGAAAATTTGGTTTGACTTTAATGATAGTGTCTAATGATACTTATCCGTTAAATTATGTAGGGTAAAATAAAAAAATAGGGACTATTCAAGTTGGAGGAAGAAAATGGATGTAAGAATGGCCTAGTACTCTTGTTATGCAAATTAAAATTTATTCTTTTATAGATATAGAATATAGAATTGTTATGAAAGCAAGAGGGCTAACTACTGCTTTAAGAGTATTTATATGTAATCTTAAACTTTTACTAAAATAATTAATATACAAGCATAAGCTTAGTTTTGAGTGGGAACAATACTTGAGTATTGGATATCATTTTTCTTATATATTTAGTATTAGTTTTATAGTGTTGGCTGATCTCGTCATGTTAATTGATTATATAATACCTCAATGCTAGGAGATAAGCAAATGTCAGTATCATCTTAAAAAATCTCTTAAATCAGCCAAAGGAAAATATCTGTAAATGGAGTACCAGAATTATTTACTTAAATTATTTTCATTTTTTTTATTACCATGGATCTCGGCTGAAAGGAGGCGCGACACAATGAAACAGAGGAGGAGTTCGGGAATGGGATCGGAGCTGTGTGAGGTCGGGATCAGGGCAGAGGTCGTGGGGTTCTGCTGGAGTGGATCTTGAATGGAGGAAGCAGCGGATCGAGCAGATCAGAAGGTGGAATGGAGGTTCAGAACTGCTCGACAGAGGAGGGATTTTGTGCATCGTCGGAGCAAGGTCGGGGTAGAGTCGGAGAGGGAGGTGGAGCTCGGCTTCGAGAGGAGGAGTTCAGTCGTGGGAGAGCAGAGAGTCGTGGAAGAGAGCTGAGGTATCGGACGTGAAGAGCAGCGATCGACTTCGTTTGGGTCGGTATTTAAAGACGCGAAAGAACCTCCTCGAGCGGAGTTTGAGCAAGAATCGCGGGAAATCGACTGGAGCAGCGCCGTTTGCAGCGAGATTTCGGCATGATTTTGTGGATCCGACGGTTGCAAGGTTTGTATGCGAGATTTTTCATTCCTCCCTTTTTTGTTCTTTGTATATTGATCAACAATTTCTTTGTCATGTGTTGTACTCATCTCAAAATAAATCTAACGGCTTTGGGGCCTATTCTGATTAAAAATTTTGAGATATTTTGTCCTAAAATTTTATCATTTCAGGAATAGTTAAGAGGTTCTTTAATTTTATAACCTTTTCGTTTTTCTTATTAGGTATGAGATACAATCTGGAGCGCATGATCCTTATGAAGATTGTGTTGCTGCATTGAGGTTGTATAAGAGACTGCGCTCCCAGGAGCATCCAAGTAGTGAAGTTGTGATGCATGAAAACGGTGGAGAGCCGTATGAATTTGAGAAAAGAAATAATTTTGATTTGCTGAGGGTGGATGAGCTCCTAAAGAAATCCCCAGATGAACTCCTCATGATGTCAACTTCAAATTATAGGTGTTGGTGTTTGGATGGTGGAGTACTCTGCTGATTCCGTTATACGATTATTATTCAATTTCTGCAATTTTTTAAATAGAAGATAGGGATGGGGAGGCAGAGTCTCTGATGCCAGCCCGGTAATCTGCAAAAAACAATTTTTTTGGGACACTTAGCAAGGAGATTACTGTAGCAGAAGTGGTGTAGCAATAGCAGCGGTGCTGTAGCAACCACTGTAGGAGGTGAACTGTTTTGAATTTTCCTGATTCTTCAGGCGATTTTCTCCGGGCGGAGGAATCTAAGATTTGATTAAATCTAATACACAATTGCATGTAAATATGTAGTTAACTCCTATTTCTTCCCATACCTGAGCCTGTAAGGGTGAAAGAAAACTTGCTGGGTCGCAGGGTGCCAGAAGCAAAATAGAGAAATAAAAGAAGAAAAGGAAGAAGGAAAAGAAAAGAAAGAAAAATGATGGAAAAAGAGATGCAAAGATAAGGAAGGAAGGAGAAGGAAATGAAGAAAAGCTGTTTACAAAATATTGAAGTTTTGAAGAAAGAGAAATAAGAAAGTTCGGCACAAGGAGGACCTACTTCATCAGGCAAGATACTCAACTTCTAATGTAATTATCAAATAATTTCTGAAATTAAAATTATGCATTTTCTGATTTCTCTGATATATATGATCACATTGATGGAATTCTTGCATAATGAGTATGTCAACAGCATCAAAGTGCACCAAACAGCATAATGCATAAATATGCGTATTTATCCATGTCAAATATTTATGGATTTATATGAATTCAAGTAAATATTCATTTATTTCGAGTATAAGACTACTAAATGACATATGATACATTAATGAGTATTTTTATATGTATTATGTTTTTTTTTTTTTTAATAAGCATCACTATGAAATGATGATTGAATATTTATGCTAAAACCAAGAAATTAGAACGATGATGATAAAATTAAAAAAATCCTTAAAAAGCCATATCATGTGAATTAGACGGGTTGACTTTGATGACCTGCATCATGATAAGATGATGCCTGATACAGAGAAATTGGCACAGACTTGCCCTTATCAGGAAAATGAAAAAGGAATTCCTATATGATATCGAGAGTTTGGAACGGGCTAAGCCTTTTTTCAGAAAAATAGGTAGGGATTCCCGACCCTAGTTATTGAGAGTGGGAAACGACCAACCCGTATCAAGGGGATGATACCACAAAGAGGCTTGAGCCTATAAGTATAATATGATATTAAAAATGAATATGAAATTATATTTTTTTAAGTAATGATAAATTGAAAATAAGGGATTTATAGTTCATTTCATATTCATGTTATTTCTAATCGTATATGACTAATAACTTATGTATTGCATAACATCTAAAGTGTTGAGCTCATTATGCATATTTGATTATGGATGATGATTCGTATACTTCATATGATCAACATAGTATGTGTCATTTTTTATGTTCTACTTTATGTTAGAATTATTTATCTTTACTGAACTTATAGCCCATTGATGTTAATCCATGATTTCAGAAAAAGGAAAGGGACACAAGGAAGAAAAATCAAGTATCTATTTTATTTTTTATAATATTATGTGATATTTATCATTTTTGATATTGCATGTAAATTCCATACATTTGATGTAAATTTAAGATATTGTATGTAAATTCTATACATATGATGTAAATTAAAGATAGTAAGCATCTATAAATTTTATTTTGGAAGATACATTAGAAGCTCTGTAATAGATTTGATGATTTAATTATGAATGTTTTCAATTCAATTCTTATGATGGTTTATTTAGATAATGATAAGTTTTATTCAGAATATTTGGACGATAAGTCAAACTATTTAACTCATCTAAACCTGGTTAGTAAAGCAAGATTGATGAAGTGAGAATTTTGTCTGTTCATAATATTAGTTTCTATTACACCTCATGGTGGCTTAGAAGGGGGCGAAAATGGGGCGTGACATAATCTCTTTGAGGTTTTGCTTCGAGAAAAGCCTTTTGTTTAGGATCTTCTTTCCCTGAGTTTGCGTTGCTGAATAAAAGGATATGAAAGGTAAACAAGTTCAAAGTTGCAGATTTGTTTTCAAGCAGCAACTTTGTTAAGGGAGTGGCCCAAGGTAAACTAATTGCTTTGTACCCGCATTTTCAAAAGTTGCTTTGTATATGTTCTACTTAACATTGTGTGTGGGCTCCGAAAATTCGGCCCCGGCCTCCCCGCCGCGCTTTTCTTTTTTTATTCGGCGAGGGGAGTTTTAACGGATAAGTTCCGGGGTAAATTTTGGAAGGCATATGAATTTGTAGATAAGACATTACCCAGAGATTTCGCCCTCATTTTGTGAGGACTTTATGATCTGAGTTCTGGTTTCCTATAGGCGCAAGCCCCTATAGTTAATTACCCCTCCCGATCACGAGAGAGAACTTTCGATTAAGGCTAGTCGTCAATCAGATACGTTGTATCCATAGATACGTAGTACCAGGCATATAGTAGCAGCAATGGACATTGGGATTGGAAGGATTGGATTTGAGAATTGAAGAATTGGGTTTTTGGATTTTGGGTTGGAAGATTTGATATTTAAAATAAAAATTGCACCATCTTGCACTTAAAGCGGATGGTGGGGGAATGGATGATGGACCCGATCAAGATCCCATGGTTTCATCGTCCCGGGCCATCGTGGTCCCTGGTCTACTTAGTCAGAGGAGGTAGTCGACCCAACCTGACAGAAGGATCCTTGTCGGCAGCCATGGGTTGCTTCGTCCAAGGGGACCTTGTAGACTGGGGGTGAATGTTTATCTAAGGGGACAAATTTGAATCCACCTTAGCTGACAGAGGGCTTCGTGCCCTATCGATCATATCCTATTGATTCATATCTCAAGGATTTGATGCCAATAAGGAGCGTATTGGCTCTGGCCATAATCGGTATTTCGTGGTGCCATTTGGCGGCAAAACCACTTGGTTCAGAGGGCCCCGGGTCGTCATAATCGTTTATCCTGCGGTGCCATTTGGCGGCAAACCGCCGGTTAGAGGACACGTACCATGTCCTTACTGGCAGGAGATTGTTTGAGAATGGATCCTAGTGATATTTTCGACTAGGCATTTGGCTCTTTGTAAGCAGAAGTAGATTTTGATTTGTCTACCCCGGCAAACTGTTGCAGATGGTGGATGGATTTTACTTTAAGTGTTTTAGGGATAATTTCAATTTTAAATATTTGAGATTTTGAGATTTGTGGAGTTTGGATTTTGAATGAACTTTTGGGGAGGCATTTGAAAATGCCTGAAATTAACCCCTCCGGTTGAGATAAACATTCAACACAGCCATCATCGGGGTGTTCGGGGTCATTTCCATTTTAGTTGATCGAACCCTGTCAACTCGACCAAACTGTTGTTCGAGGATCGAATTTCTTATAGGCTTTGTGCCTTTGTTCATGAATTTTCTTTATTGGAGGCCTTGAAGGCCGAATATGAATGTATAAGATAAATATTCTGATCGACTTCGTGACCGCATATTTATCTGATATCTCGAACCCTGTCTACTCCTATTTATCTACTTAGGAGGATCGGGTTTCATAGGCTTCATGCCTTTTATTTAGTGAATTCTTTTGATTGTAAGTCTTGAAAGCCTAATATGAATGTATTGAAACAAATACATTGGTCTCCACAAACGTGTATTCGTTTAAAGGTTCGAACCCTGTCAACTTCTATTGGTCCGTATAGAAGGATCAAGTTCGAACTAGAATTCACTTATCGACTCGTGCAGCATCCCTAGGCGTCACGTATGTACCAATAACACGCTCGCCGGGGCCCATGCGGGTGATTTTTATATTGATTTAAACGTACCCCATTGTGTACCTATGTGTATACAAACTATAGTGCAGGTGCAGAGGTACTTTGAAATATTTTGTAAACGCCTTCTGCCCGCTTGCATGGATATTGCGGGTCCGGTGGTGTGGCGTTGTAGGCAGTAGGCGCCTTTTGTCTGCTTGTATCAGTGTTGTAGATCCGATGGCGTGCTAGTCTTGATATTGACTCCCCCCTTTCTCATTCACCAGGGATATTCTTCTGGACTTTAAAGTTCGTTGATTTGAAGAGAACTCCCTTTGAGGTCGTCAGTGTAGTGGACTTATTATTTCCGGTGTTTGTGGGCACCAGAACTGTTTTCTTTTTAAATATAGGACTAAGAAGGGGCTTGGGAACACCAGGAAGTTTGGTTCTAATTTGTTCAAACTTCCTTTTTGATTCTGTCAGGGAGTGTACTTTTCCGTACATCGAGTTGCCCTTGTACCCGACATACTTGGAGATCTTGGTTATCATTGTTGTAGGTAATATCCATACTTGTGTCCACAGTGATTCATTATACTTACATACACTGTTGTTATCCACAAGTATCCATTTGCAGGGAACCGCTGTATTCACTACGATCTCCTGGAAGTGTTTGTAGAAGAGTCATTGTTGCCTATATCGTATCCACCTTTCACCATTCTCAGGTGGTTTGATTATACTTGTTTGACCTCGTAGGGATCGTCGTGGGAGATACTTGACTTGTGCCCACAGTGGTTCGATAGTGCTTACGATATGCCCACTGTTATTATCCACAAGCGGCTCGTATTTGTTTGTAAGGATCCGTTGTGTTTGCTACGAGCTCCTAGGAATGTTCGTAGGAGACCCTCGTTTCTTGCATCACATCCACCTTTCACCAATCTCAGGTGGTAGACGATTACACTTGCTTGTAGGGGCAGATCTTTGATTGCTAGTCTCCAGTATTGCCATCTCAATCAACAGGCATTAATAGGGATTGTCGTAGGAGATTCCAATAGTGCATGTAGGAGGGACACCCATGCGTTTTACTCTTGCAGGTACGATGCACCCGATCTTGTAGAGACTGTTGTAAGAGTCCCCTATATTCTTTACTCGTATGCATTGAGATATTATAGTTTGAGTTTGCTCGTATCTTGATTCGTCGTATGTCTTGTAGGAGAGCGGGGCACTCATTACAATCAAATAATATTGATTGTGCAAAGTGTGTATTTTCTTTGGATTCTTCAAATGCACCTTCTTTGTTAGCTCGTTGTATGTTGGATTCTCTTGTTGCTCGTAGATGAGCCTCATTGCATGTGACAAGTCCTTTGTTGTTCGAGATTAGTTTTGGGTCTGGTGTAACGTAAGTTTGTATTACAAGTTTGGCAGCAAATCCCTTGCATATTCGTTTGAGTGCACTGAGGGCTTGATTCAAATCAAGTTTTGAGTGTATATTACAAGTTCAAATTGATTGTCCGAAGGGTCTCTGAAGTCCTTACAAGTGCAATTGCTTGTTTCGTATTGATTTTGATTTTGACTCCAGTTTGGTTTATTTTATTTGAATTTGAACCTTAGAAATCATTTAAGTTTTGGCTCAGGTCCTCTGCTTATTTTAGTTCAAGTTTCAGTGCATTTTTGTTCGAGTACAGGTCTCTATATTGTTGTCTGGCAGAAGGTCTTTAAATTGTTCAGGCTTGTACATTTCAGTGAAAATTCGGCAGCCGACCCATTTCCCGCCGTTTGGGGGAAAATAGGGGAGCTGGGCTTCCACACGCTATCTGATGCGTGTATGGTAGGTGTCCTTAGACACCGCGGCCGTAGTATATTTTCATCCACCATGCTACACGAGGCGGCATAGGTGGTTCCCCGTTCCGCTGCAACGTAGAGGACGGGTTTAGAAATCATATCCTTTGCGTAGCAATCGTCGGCGGTGTCGGTGTCGGGTCGAGGACAGTCCCACACGCTACAAAGCGTTTTATAGGGCTTAACTCGCCTCGTCGCACATGTCGCACCGGATTCCATCCCACCGTGCACAATAGCGCGTATAGGGGGTCCACCGGCGCGTCAAGCGCGTCGAGGGCGGGGTTTAAGTAGAAATATTATACCTTACGCCCGGCGAGGGAGTTGTCGGCGACTGTCAGCGGTGAAGGGCACGGAAGCCGAAGCATGAGTTGATTTTTTTGTGAATATGATATTAATATTAATTAATTAAAATTAATTAAGAATTATTTTTAATTAATTATAATTAATTATTCTTAATTAATATAATTAATTAATGTTTTTAAAATTAATTAAAATCATTAATTACAATTAATTTATAATTATTATAATTAATTAATATTAATTAATTATATATTAATATTAATTATTTTTAATAATAATAATTAATAAAAATTAATTAATGATAATTAATTTTATAATGATAAATTAATTAAAATTAATTCTAATTAAAATTTATTATAATTAATTAAATTAATTATAATAATTTAATTAAAATTAAACATAATTAATTATAATAATTATAATTAATTAAAAATAAATAACTGTAATTAATTAAAATTAATTAAAATAATTACAATTAAAAAAAATAATTAATTAAAATAAATCATATCTCTCCCTGCCCTCTCTCAGTTCGGTGGCTTCACGGGATTTGGCCAGAGTAGCGCGTGAAGGGTAGAAAGTTACCTTCATAGCACGGGCTCCCGTCGTTGCCTCCGATCAAAATGCAGTAACTTCTGATCGACGGGAAGGGCAAGCCGTCGAAGGTGCGAAGTTGACCAGTACCGAAGGAGATGCCAAAGGGAGAAAGTTAACTTCACAGAGAGCGAGCTCCCTTGTGGCTTCCGATCAAAATGTCTCAACTTCCGATCCAACGGGAGAGAAACACCGTCGGGGGGACGAAGTCGAGCAGCAACAAGGAAGCCGGAGAAGCACACGAATGAGAGTAAGTTATCTTCCCAGCAAGCGAGCTCTTGATTGTTGCTTCCGTTCGAAATGGTCGTAACTTCCGATCCGTCAAGGGGCGCGGCCCGAACAGCACGAAGGAGCCGAAGAAGTGACGCCTGCAATCTCTACACCTCCTGTAAAGAAACGAAGCCGAACACGCAAGCGAGCGAGCTCCCTTCGTTGCTTCCGATCGAATGTCGTGGCTTCCAATACAACCTCACAGCTTGCGGCTCTCGTTGTTGTTCCCGACCGAAATGTCGTAACTTTCGGTCGGCTGGAAGGGAAAGTCGTCGGACTAGCGAAGTCGGGCGAGGGAGCGGAGAGAAAGAGAGCAGAGCGAGAGCGAGAGTCGTCCCGAGCGCCTCGTTTCCTCATCATTTAACGACGAGCAGCGACGTGCAAAAGTATGGCGAGATGAGACGTCGTCATGTGAAGAGCGGCGCTAAATCGTGCGTAGGTCGTGACGTCGTGCTGAATTCGGCGCCGGACAGGTACTTAATTAATTTTTTTTTTATACAATTACGGTTCAACATTGTGTCAATCAAACAGTTCCTAATAGTGAGGAATCCCCTAGGCAGTATTACAGTGAGATAAATGCAAGAGGAAATCCTGTATCCAAAACCATCTCTACACGATCTCAATTTCATAATTGATCTAATTATATTTTATAATTTTTTCTTAAATTTTCACGATTTCTCATCAATGTTTTATTATTTAGGAACTGCATCATTTAAAAGTTATATTCTGATCTATATGATCCAAGATAATTTGATGAAATTTATGTATTTATCTTGGGTCTTTTAATTTTATGGTAATCTCTTTCAACTAAATATCGATTGAATAACTAAAAAAAGCCCTGCACAATTAGCCAAAGTCAAATAGATCCATTGATTCCACATTTATGCTCTCAGTCAGCTGCATTAGTATGTTGATCATTCATATCGATTGTAACTGCCCCAAGATGATTGAACCCTACTTAAATTTTCATCTCTCCATCTCATTAATCATGTAGATTCTTTGGGGTTCAATCATTTTCGAATTTTTTTAAAATTTTATTTAGATTATGCTTACGAAAATCAAAATTTCCTGCATTTACATGGAAAACACATGTTTGAATGTTTATAATCATCTTTCTGTGCTTAAAAGGAAAAAAAACTGTGACACAAATGTAATTCTAGATTGAATCTGAATTTTTTTTAATTTTTTAAGGCATTTCATGTATTTTTTTTCATACAACAACAACAAGAACAACATCAAGCCTTTATGCCACTACGCGGGGTCGGCTACATGAATCCTTTTTCTCCATTTTGTCCTATTAAAAGTGAAATTCTCATTTAAATCTAATAGAGAAAGATCATTTCTAATAATTTCTAATAAAGTATTTTTTTCATGAATATCTTATATTCAAACCGGATGTTTTGTTTCATGGATTCTGATCAGAAATTGATGCAGACAATTTTATTATTTTCTCGATGTGAGTCTCCTTCATATCTCAATGAAGACAATCAAACTGTTAATTTAACTAATGTGTAGCAGTTTTTGTTTATTGTAACTTCAATCAAATTTTGATTGTATTATTACTTGATGTCTAGCATTTGCCATATAATTTTAGGATTTTTTTGCTTATTGCCATATTGTTGGCAGTTAACAACAGTTTTTATAATTACTCGTATATAATCTTATTTGTATGACTAGGATACAATGCATCAGGTCAAATAGATTCCATCCTGTGTCCGAGTTCAGTCTCTGTTGTTTGACTCCATTATTACTGGAATTATAACTGACATGAATTACGAGAACTTAACCAAAAAACGAGCCATCTTTTTTTGGTTACAGCTCTATTTCGATTCCCGAGCTCTAATTGAGCTATATGTTTTTTTATAGGACAAAAAATTAGACAGAACAAGAACAGAGATCATTAATTACTATTGCAGCAAGTCTGAAAGCATGAACATTTTGTACAGAATGATACTGGTGTAATTAATGCAAATACTCAACTGCAAATATACATTTTTCGCTAGAGCTCAAAAACAACAGGGAAAATGAATAAAATGATGATATTGGTTGGAAAGAAAGTTGAATTTCTGCCACATATTCAGACTCTTCCAGTGAAGTGAGGTTGGTTGATAGTAGAAGTAAGGCCTGCATGAATAGCTCCAGTGCACAAAAGCTGAGTCCCACTAACTATGATAGTCAAGGTCTCAAGTGCTCTCTGCAAAGTTTAGAAGGCCAATACATTAGGCTAGTGGTATTTCTATTCAAGCCAATCAAGTTTTGCCTGATTCTGTTTCTGCTGCTGGAAGTATTTACAATACAACAAAGCTTACCAGGCCTGCTGTCCTCCAACCAATGCTTATCTCCTTGCAAGCCAACCTTCCAAGACATTATTGATAGATTGTTTCAGTATAGGCTTAGTGAAAATAACAGTAGTTTTTATTTTAGAAATGGTGAGTTTGAAGACATAAATTTAGGCTTCGTTTGGGATGGCTTTCTTACTGCTTCTTGAAGCAGTTTTCTAGCACGAAAAATAAATTTTTTATACTAAAAAACTGTTTTGCGAAGCAGTAAGAAAGTCGTCCCAAACAAAGCCTTAATGTAAATGAGAGTTGAATTTAGAATTTTCACATATCTTTAATAATTTATTGATAAGAATTCATTTTTTTGCAGAGATTTTTATAGTTCTTACCCCATGGCTAGAACTGTGAGACCCCAAGCAATAACTGAAGACGACGCAGCAGATAACAAGCCTGATGCGTTCCCCTGAAGAACGTTTTGAAGCCCAGTGAGGGACGAAGCAACGCCTACCAAACCAGCAATGAGGGAAAATATGACAAAAAATCCGGTGGCAAAGTTCCCAATAGGATAATATATTGGAAACAGTCTAGCTGGTAGAGAAAGTCCTGAAACTGTAAAGAAAAAAATAAATCATATCAGAACCAATATGTAAAACATTAAGAAAACTCATTAGTGATTCTTATATAATCTGTGCAACTACGAGAGATTATTCTGTGCAGACACCCGACGGGAGAACCGTCCGGTTCATGCTCAGGTACCGAGCGATACCAAGTATCAAGTACCGCCCGGTATCGGACGTGGTGCATTTTTATTGGGGGTTGGAATCCGGTCAGAATAATTTCGTGCGACTACCTGCTTGTGTTGTCTCATCAATTCCATAGTTCAGTGCCCATCCTGCAATTACAACTACGATTGCATATATTAAGAGGTTGATGAAGAGGAAGAAGGTTGCCACAGACTTTGGACCTGTGGCCATTATGTATTTTAGAAGAAGGTTTTGCTAAGTTGAAGACTGGTTTATCACCACATATATTTAGATAGATAGATTGCTTCATCAAAGAACTGTGGTGGTTTTATATAATATTTCATTAGCTTAAAGGAAAGATGGAATCCCTTGTTGGCATGGGGAGTTTGTTTGTACATTGCCTTGATAAAAAGAAAGGGATTGATTACTTGTGTGGGAAGAAGGGTTTCATTTTAGTCTGGAGCAGTTTCATGTGATTTAGGTTTTATTTGGGATAGTTTTCTTCCTGTTTTTTAAAGTAATTTTTTTGGACAAAAAATACCTAAAATTAGAATTTTTTTTGTTCTACAAAGTTTTTTTAGAAAGCAGCAAGAAAATTATCTCAAATGAAATATTAATATGTAAGGGATTGTTGTTATTGAAAAAGTGTGGATGTTTATTCATATGCTTATTTGATGGCTTTAAGTATGGGAAGAGAATCTGAATGAATGCAAAGTAGCCATTCAAAACATACAAATATATATATTAATGCAAATCAATATATAGCCGTTATTAATACAATCAAAAATAAAAATTAAGATAACTGATATATCATTAAAAAAATTATCTTGATCGGGTATAAATCTCAATGCAAAATAAAACTTCAAAAATTAAATTCAAGATCATCTCAACTTCGATATCAGCAAAGTTACGGTTGAACTGTATGTTTTGAAAATATGAACTCAATGATACCAAATTCAACTTAATCTAAGTCCAAATGAGTCCAAATCAAAGACCTGAAGCACTTTTGAAAGGTTCAAACTATAATTTGGATTACCAAATGATCTTCAAACATAACATGTTAATATTCGAATTGAGCAGCTTGATGAGACTAATCCAATGAGTCCAAGATTGTCAAATTTTGATATCATTAAGACATTTAAATATCCAGTAAATGATTCATGATCAAGAGGATCAACATCGGCCATCAGTTCAAACTACTCAAAATTTACCTTTGATCTTCCTTCTATTTACTAGTTATGCCACTTTCATAAAACTATTAATAGACCCATCATTTCTCATGAAAAGGGGAACACAAGCAAGAAGAGAAGGAAGAGTGTTCTCTTGCCACCAAACTCCTCGACCATTGCCGGACTTCAGTTTGGCCACCGACTGTCGTCGAACTTCTGCCCGGCTATCGATGGACGCTGGATTTTCGCCCAACCATCAACTGACGCCAAATTTCTGCTCGATTATGGACTGACTCTTGACTTCCGTTCGACCTTCAAATTTCAATCTGATTGTTGACTGTTGTAATCCGATCGTCCTCAATTTTAAGGATGAATTAGACACTTGTAATTTACTCAAACACGAGATTTGAAAAAAAAAATCAAATCTTGGGTTCAAAATGGGCAAACATAGCAAGGTGCACCCCTACATGCACCCTTTATATAGCAGTGATTTAAGATATTGAACCATAAAGCAGCTATATAAAACATTAGGACTTGAATGGACATTACAACTTTACAGGCCATCTAATGTGATAGGCTATTAAAGCTACATGTAATGTCAGTTTATATTAAATGAGATAATATAAGAATCCTATGCTCTAAATGTCACAGGCCATTTCAGGAATCTAATGTCCTCAATAACTACACATTAATTACTTATAATAGAGGAATCAAATGTTCTTTTATACTAATATTAGTTATAGTATTTATAACTTATCTTTACTGAATTTTATTGATATAAATTAAATTAGAGGTATTTTAAGATTTTGTGATAATAAAGTCCTTCAACACTTTTGTAGTACGATGCGAGTGCAAGCTTGAAGTTGGGTTTGTGTTGGATAGCAACCAAATTTTTGTGTGAACCAAAGCTGGACACATTGCCAATCCACAGCATCAAGAAAGTTCTTCCTATGTCTATCAGGCATAAAACTCATATCATCGTATGTCTTGATCAGAAATGTATCAGCCTTAGAATCTCATTTTTGATAAAGGATGCAATTAGCAATATCAATCGTTAGGTTGCCCACAATCTCCTCGAACGATCCATCATCACGGTGTCTAATTTTAACAGATCTAACCTTCAAAGTGTTAATCGACACTAGATGTGCCGCACATCATGAAACCCCCCTTTGCACATATTTCCAGCCTTCCTTATTTAAACTCGCTCCATCCCTATAAGATGGATACCTCATAAGTTTCCGGTGTGTCTCTCATAGTTTGCAGTCCACCTTATCTGACTAAGAATATACACAACACTGGTTGATTTGATTCATTCTAGCCTTCTCCTCTAACGTATCATCAGTTGGAAATGCTAAACATCTATGAACTCGATTATTATTCTCCATAATCAATTGTTTTGAAGAAACTTTTTCAGTCACATACTTTCTGGTTCGATACATTTTTATATGAATGCAATATACTAGTTACTTTGATCATAACAAGAAAAGGATTGTCAATTTATAGGAGAATTCCATATGAATAGAGGTGTAATAATTAATTAGTCAGAAAAAAAAGCTTGATTTGACATGACTAAATGAATTGACAACATAATAACTAATTGATCAGAAATTCATCTAGGTGTAGCATTACATTGCATATTCATACTCTCATACAAGAATGTGGGCACCAAGGTTACAAGATAACATTACAAACTGATATGAAAATACACACTGAGCTGTCATTATAAAGTGTTTTGACAACACATAATGATATATCAATATAAATTTATTTGACCATACAACTTTGCTGGATTTGATCTGACAATACAACTCAAAAAAAATTGCATAAACTAATACTCAACAACAGAATTTTGTTTTTTTTTTTTAACTAACAAGATTAAGTCGCCCGTTTATTGGCAGTATCAATTTCTCGTTATTCGTCTGCTTGTTCAACATATAACGGATAGCTGAGTCAGCATGGAGTAATGGACATAAGTCGTACGTTTAAAAAGTCATCCGTTAAACAGTCGACTTTAGCGAGTTTAAATTTTTTTTACGTTGCTTAATCATTTAATTATAATTTAGACGATACTTAGTTTACAAAATTGCCCTCAGCTATTTGTTAGGATGAAAATTCGATTAGGACACCTAAGCCTTACTATCCCGATCGATCACCTCATTTCCTAATTTCCGTTGCCCGAATCAGTCCCACTGGGACCCCATCTATATCTCCTCATTTTCCTCAATTCAGTTGCTCGAATCACTCATTAATTATATTTCAAAAATTAAAGCCATTTAAATTATTTATTTATTTATTTTAAAAATGATCATAATATCTTACTATTATAAAACTAAAAACTCACCTGATTCCCACTTTCATAAAGAAAGACAACTATATTGGAGCCCAATGCAATAAAACAATCAATGAGAATTTTAATTTTAGGATGAAATACATTTTTTATTTTAATAAGGAAAGACCTTATTAATCTCTATACTCAATAATAAATATATAATAATTTATATAATAAATAAATAAATGTTTCATTATTAACACTACGAAGCACCAACTATACAAGTTGATGCAAGAACATTTTGATTATGAGGTCATTCTATCATTATCGCATGTCAACGAAGGTCAGCTCAAGTTGGTCATTTTGGTTGTGGATGCCAACAAGAGATTTGGTGGATGCAACAAAGGTAATGAGGAGTTGTGTCAGCCTCAAGTGTTAATTGAGAGTAATTACTTTGTGGTGAATGTGATAAGTAGAGACAAGCCTATGCTAATATTTGATACAATATGTACGCTCATAGATTTGCATGAATACTCTGTGCATGGATTGTTGGAAGCACAAAGCTCAATGAGGTGGCCACTTGTCCATATGAACTAATAGAGCCTTGTAGCACATCATAATTCAAATTCATTGGAGCACACATTGTATCAAATATATATTAGCTTAGATCTGCCGCTAGTCCTCACCTTCACCACAAAATAATCACTCTCAATTGACACTCAAGGAAAGCATACCCCTAAGTTACCTCATTTGCCTCCACCAAAACTTGTATTGGCCCCCACAATCAAAATGGCAAGCTTGAACATATCTTCTTTGACATATAATGATGGTATGGAAAAGTTATTATATCCGGACAAAAAACCGGAAATCTGGATAAATACCGAGCAATACCAAGTGCTCGGGGTACCGAGCACCCAAGTGACGTGGCGCTTTGTTACTGGTCTCTGGACGCATTTGGTATCCGGACACAATAATTACTCGATGGTGTGATGACGTCATAATCTATATACTCCTACATCAACCAGTGCCAAACTCATTGCTAGCAAAAAAATGGTAAGCGGAGGAGGAAGAAGAAGAAGACAGGCGGGGAATTAAGAAGAAGATGAATCTCATAAGACAGTGAAGAAGAAGAAGGCAGACTTGGAATTAAGAAGACGGTGATGAATCAATGGTATTTGGTAAGAGAAGCAGAAGCACTAATATGCTATATATTTATAATTATTAATCTCTTCACTCTTCAGCTAACTGTTGAGATGATAATTCCATTGATTAGTACACTTAAGCCTTCACTATGTCCTCAGTTGATGATTTCTATTGCACAAAGTTGTTAATCCCACATATTTGTCTTTACCTTTTGGACTCTTCCGTTGCTAGAATCAGTCCAAGAATTATAATTAAAAAATTTTAGCCATTAGAATTATTTAATTTGAACCACTTATTTATTTAAATTTGAAAAACGGATAATACATGCATTAAATATTATATATTTATGCATATACGTAAATTATTATAGTATTAACTAAACAGTGATGATATTCTTAGTTATTTAACTAAACTTTGATGATTTTTTGATAATGAAATAAATCCATAGCATTTATAAAATGATTTTGCATATTTATTTGTGAAGTATATGAACAAATTATTATATAAGCGTCCATTTCTTTTTTAAATAATTGGATACTGTATAGTTCTTTATTCTTTTAGTACAAGGATGATTAATTGTCATGCACCCTATAAATAAATTTCTATTATTTCATATCAATATTCAGGGAAAAAATTGGTCAAAATATTTTACTTAAATTTTAGATATATCATGCATGATAAAGGTAAAGAGCATCTCACTTATTCTAATGATGTCAGGTTACTCTCAGCATCAAGGCCGTTGGTCTCCAAAAAACACTTTATTCTGTAAAACGTTTGATGCTAAAAACTTCTCAATAATTCTAAACAAAGAGGTTAAGTGATACAAAGCTCGGCTTTTCTCTAACCTTTGTTCTTGTACTGTGCTCTCTTTCTTTATTGGTGTTTCATGTTGTTGTTGCTGTTTGGTCGTGGTTGGTCCTCACGCCGTTCTGTCTTCTTGGGTTGGTTGGTGTGAAATAAACAGAAAAGAAAATTGGAAGAAGAAGAAGAAAAAAAAATGGTAGAAGTAGAAACACACAAATTTTTTCTTCTATTTATTTATCTCATGCACACATTACAACTCTTTTATCTAAATTAGACATCACTTCACATACAACTTTGCATGTAGAAGGAGGAATAAACTCCCCATCTTCACATTCCTCACTAACAATATTGTTTAACAAAGAAGCTTTTTTTGCTAACATAGCAGGTTGTGAACAATTTTCAGTGATATCTCCATTATCAACTTCATTAAACATAGAAGCAATAGAAACAAAGAAGGAAGGCTCATTTAAGGAACTAATACCATTATGAAGAGCATCATTGGCAATAGTATCGTTTAAAACAGGTTTAGTAGCTAACTGTAAAGCATCAACCGAGGAAGCTTCATTGACTAATATAGTATCTGAAGAAATCAAAACAGTGTCATCTAATTTATGAATAATAGGTTGCGATTCCACCATTTTCTCCAAATTCTCAACATTCTCGATTGATTTTTCACTAACAGGCACATAAATTTTTTGAGAATCGGCGGAGCCAAGCTTCCCATTAGACATAACTTTAGATTTTTTTAGTTCAGGGAGATTAAAACAATCATTTTGAGAGTGACCATGCATTTTGTAATGAGAGCAGAAATCATGAACATTATCAAATTCCACTTTTTGGAAGTAACCGAAGGTTTTAGATCCAACCCAAATTTCTTTAGGATGCTTTTTTGAAATATCGACCTCAACGAGAATACGGGCCACGGAGGGTCTAGTGCGGGAGGCAGTAGCCTGATCCGTTTGCAACGGTCTTCCAAAAATAGAACCTAATGCATGCAGTACTTGCTGATTGAAAAAATGAAGACGAAGGTTGGGGAAGGAGATCCACACAGGCACGATGGGAGATTCCTCTTTAATATCGAAAAATGGTGTCCATTTCAAAATATGCATTTGACAGTTGAAAATAAAGTATGAGCGCCTAGAAAAAATGTGACTGTAATCAAGATCGTTTGATAATTGAATCGCAACATGCCTAGAGTCAAGCAAACCAACCGAGTAAAAACAAGACAGTTTTAAAGACGCAAAAAATTGACGGATAGCATCGAGATTGGGTCTGCGTAACCCAAATTTACCAACAAGAGTAAATTTGAAAGGAGACGCTAACTTCAGAACTTCTTCATCCGACAAAAAAACAGCAGGAACACCATTAAAAGTAGTTTGATAAGAGATGGAAGCTCATCACCTACTGAAGCCTTGCCGGAAAGTACCTCTTTAAAGGATCTAGATCTAGAAGGAGATTTCGGAGCATCATCTTCAAGGTTGAAAAAACCTTTATTTTTTTGCAGCACTGGCTCGGAGGCTTTCCCCCAAGAGGAGGAAGGAACAGCACCAACCATAAAACAGAGCCCAGAAGGAGCACAGAGCACCAAAGGAGGGCAAAAACTCAACAAACGCTCGAGAAATCGAACGCAAGAAGGAGGAAAGTGGGTCGGAGAAGAAGAAAAGAGGGAAATCCTAAATCGCCAGAGCGGCTAGGGCGAACCAACTAAAACAAATCGTATTCCTGCTCTATGGAATCAATTGTTAATCCCTCATATTCGTCTTTACCTTTTGCTCTCTTCCGTTTCTAGAATCAGTCCAAGAATTATAATTAAAAAATTCAAGCCATTAGAATTATTTAATTTTAACCACTTATTTATTTAAATTTGAAAAACGGATAATATATGCATTAAATATTATATATTTATGCATATACGTAAATTATTATAGTATTAACTAAACAGTGATGATATTCTTAGTTATTTAACTAAACTTTGATGATTTTTTTATAATGAAATAATCTATAGCATTTATAAAATGGATTTTGCATATTTATTTGTGAAGTATATGAACAAATTATTATATATGCGTCCATTTCCTTTTTAAATAATTGGATACGGTATAATTCTTTATTCTTTTAGTACAAGGATGATTAATTGTCATGCACCCTATAAATAATTTTCTATTATTTCATATCAATATTCGGGGAAAAAATTGGTCAAAATATTTTACTTAAATTTTAGATATTTCATGATAAAGGTAAAGAGCATCTCACTTATTCTAATGATGTCTGTAAAACGTTTGATGCTAAAAACTTCTCTACATATATTGATGTATCAACAATTCTAAACAAAGAGGTTAAGTGATACAAAGCTTGGCTATTCTCTAACTTTTGTTCTTGTATTGTACTCTCTTTCTTTATTGGTGTTTTATGTTGTTGTTGTTATTTGGTCGTGGTTGGTCCTCACATCTTTCCGTCTTCTTGGGTTGGTTGGTTGGACTTGGCGGTTTGTTGTGTTTTGTTTAGGTTTCGTTTGTTGTCTTCTTTGGCTTGTTTGTTTACTATCTTGGCTGGCTGGGTTTAGCGATCTCCTGGGTGTTTATAATAGTGTTATGTTTGCTCATTTTCTCTTTTAGTTTTTTTTTTCTTTTTTCAAGTTGTTTGCTGACTGAAGGCGTAGCATATGGGCTTTTGAGGTTGTGTATCGTTTGGGTCTCCCTTTAGGTATTTCTGTATATTTCCGGTTTGCAGCCTTTCCTCCTTGCGTTGGATGCATTTTGGATCTTTCATGCTCTAGCTAGAATTTTTGGAGATTTCTTTTTTATCCTTATGGGCTTCATTAAAGATCAAGCTTGAGCATTTTTTAGGGTTGGCTTGTTGCCTCCTCTATTTTTTTTTCTTTGAATCATTGTATTAGGATCATTGACTCATTAGATTTTATTTTGTAATGGATGTATTTTTTTGGCTTAGAAAACATTTGATCCTTTAAGGTTTTGTAATATATTTTTTTTAATCAACACGTATGCCCCTACGTGAGTTTTAACTATAAAAGAAAAAAAGAAAAAAAGATTGAGCCTTGTATGCTTTATAGATTGATGCAGTGGAATAGAAAGATATATTTATATTGCATTTTACTCCATCTTTGAGTTGTAAAATGAGAGATTAGTGAAAATTTGAAGAGGACTCAGAGATTGGTCGTAGATCATTGGTGTCAAACAGTAATATATTAGTTTTCATGCTATATACTTTTGCTTATAATATGAAGTTTTGAAAAAAGAGTTATGATGAATATGAAAATTATTTTATTTATTTAATAATAAGCTCTTGTTTTTATGTTGTTTTAACAAAAATAACTTTCAAAAAATACGATTATTTTGAAAAGATGGACAAATTATTTCTTATTTACAAAGATATTCTTTGGTAAGCTATACTCTTGCTCTGCCCACATTGAGATCGGCTTATCGTGGAGCTCTTGATTTTATTCCTCCATGTACCTTAAAAAACTCCTACACTAATGCCTTATAACTTATTGGATCTCATTCTCCAAAGTACTGCAGATCATCTTAGCTAAGCAAAGGCGTGTGATCAAAAGTAAGATATCTCATCCATTGTGGTTAGGTAGCAAACTTAAGCCTTAGGCCTATTCCTATGCTTGGTCGATTGATGCACACACCATATAATGCTATATCGTAATTACGCTATTTGATAACTGAGGATTTTTTTATGGATTTACATGTGTAGCCACCATCGTTGGATATCGATCCCCTGCCAGCAGTGGAGCGGTCACCACCACCATCGACCGTTGTCCCTGTTGGCCACCACCGTCAACTGTGCCCCTCGCCCCTCCTGTTGCGCCCTTTCTACCACCACCACTGGTCACCATCACCGTCGACCACCCCTTGTCGACGGTCAACATTGTTGGCCAACACTGTTGCCGACCGCCAACCACCCCGGCCACAACTTGTAAGAAATATTTCTTTTATCGTATAGTCAATGGCTACCAAATTTTCTGTCTAAATCCATACTTTTTCTTCTCAGGAGATAATAATAATATTTTTTTCTTCTCAACGAAACAGCAAAAAGCAATCTTCACTTAATTTAAAGATACATCCATATAAAAATAGAATTAGAGCCCAATGAAACAAAACAATCAATGAGAAATTTAAGGATGGAACGCATTTAATTAAGTAATATATATAAACAAAAAAATCTAAAGCTAGCAGCTAATTCTAAATTTTCAGCAAAATAAATTTAAAGGTCTTACTGAAGAGTTAACATTTATCATCGTTTATCTAAAATCTAATGAAACTGTGGAAATATGTTAAACAATCGCTTGATATGAGATCATATAGCACCCCCAAAAGAGCAAATCATAGAATATAAACTCCATCTTTTGTGAGCTGGAGATGTGATGTTGCAGTCACAATTATTCTTCTTTTCAAAGAAGATTCCATTCCAGATCTCTTTCTGCATTGCCTCCAGTTTTTGTTGCTCAATAGCAACGACATTAGAAGACGATGAGGCATCCGTGATATAAAAAGTGCCAACAGCCATGTCTTTTTGCTTGGCGAACTCCACCTTATTTATTGAGAGGCCATTTTTTTGGAACACTTTGCTCACGTTCAAAAGCAAATCAGGTCGGTTTAAAGTGCGCATGTCCATCCTTAAACCCTGCACAAAACCATAAACAAATAAATACTATATTCATCATACTAACATAACTTTTTTACCCATTAATGGTCAAAAAGTGCAAATGTTAATACTAACATGAGACTGTCTCCGCTCAATGGCCGCCTTCAAACTTCGAACTAAACTTTGTCTCTCCACCTCATTGAGCGTTGTGCATCCATCAAGCCCTCGCATGAAGTATTTCTACGTACATACATAAAATTAAAGTAATATATTCCAAATGTATATACCAAAATCCAAAGTTAATCAAATCACCTGAATTGCCCACCGTCCATTTGAGCTGACAAAGCCACGTAGCACTTCAAAATTCAAATTCGTCAGAGAAGAAATTGCATCAAACATTAACTTAGGTGTATCCCTACTCCTCACAGTCACCACAAAATAATCTCTCTTAATTAAGTGACCACGCAACCTCTTTGCCTCCACAACCGAAATGGCCAACATGGAAAGATCTTCATGGGCATGCAATGGTGGCGTTGTGACCTGAAAGTCCATCTGTTCTTGCATCAACTGATGTAATCGTCGCTCCGTATGGATCTGGTAGGCCGCATGGCGTAGTCGCACCCCCCACAACTTATCAGGTAAGTGGTGGGCTTCCACCACATTCAATATCTTCTTCAGCAAGCAACTCAAGCGTGGCCGATCAGAGATGGACCGACCCGTGTCGCGGTTCTTTATGTAGAAGATGCCAGCAGCGCAACGTTGTGGGTCCACACTTCACTCGTATCGACCATGCAAGAGAGTTCAAAAAGAACGGCGTTGACTCAGAGAAAATGCCGGGGCTATCAACAGAGCTTATTTCGAGGGCGATGCAATCAGAAGTAAAGTGTTCAACATTGACTTTGTTGTCGCGACATATTTTGAGTTTGGCGACGTCGTAAGCTCTATTTCCTTCTTGGTCGCCATCAAGAGACCGTTGCATGTAGCGTACGAAGCTGGGGTCTCTAAGCTTGTGGCCATGGTGATCGGTGACATGGAAAACATTCATGAACCAACCACCATCGGCTGAAATGGTGGCTTTGGAGATGATGAGGTCAAGATCGCTCAAGGCCTGAACTATTTGTAAGAGAATACGACCATGCCCATTCTCACCTTCCACCTGCATTTAAATCGGTTTTCTTTTTGTCATATTAATTAGTTATTATTTAAAGCTTAATCCAAATAAAAAGCAGACATAATTTGTTTGAAAAGCATGATAATTAAATTATTGTATTATTAAAAGAGGAAAAAGAGAAAACCCTGAGAAGAGTACAATCCTCGTATGTTTCATTGTCAACGCACAAACTGCAGCCAACAATTAACATTGGTCAAAGTTATTTAATCAAAGTAATTAAGCAACCACCAATGAATCGTATATAGTAAAATATAAATGGTAAGTATTACCTGAAGTTGGAAGAACCTTCAGCCATTACTATCTCTGAAGCTCACTTAGTAGATAGGGAAGTAGTGGGCGGAGGAAGAAGAAGACGAAGGAGAAGCCTGTCCGGGAACTGAGAAGAAGAATTAATTAAGGAGATTGATGGAATTTTGGTAGGAGATGCAGAAGCTCTAATTAATCTGCTATTTATAATTAATCTGTCTACTCTTCAGCTATTTCTTAGGACTAAAATATCGTTGATTAGGACACCTAAGCCTCACTATCCCCATTGATCTCCTCTTTTCCTGATTTCCGTTGCCAGAAGCAGTCCCACGCCCCCATCTATATCTCCCACCTCATTTCCTGATTTCCGTTGCCAGAAGCAGTCCCACGCCCCCATCTATATCTCCTTATTTTCCTCAATTCAGATGCCGGAATCAGTCATTAATTATATTTCAAAAATTAATGCCATTGCATAAATTATTTATTTTAAAAATGATCATAATAGCTTACATTTATTTGGGATAATTTTTATATGAGATGTAGCTCATCTTAGTCCGTTGGTTGGGAATTCTAGCTATCAATTTAGAAGTCTTAGGTTCAAAGCTTACGTATATGCGTGAGTATAACTTAATTTTTATTTTTTTTTAAGAAAATTCACCAACGGGCCTACGCATTAATATATGTAAACCAGTCCCGTCTAGTATGATGTAAACAATCGTTCAAACGAACTGTTTTATTTTTATGAACATATTGTACAGTACGATTTATTTTATTTCGCCTGTTTGTATGAGACGATTCTTGTGACAACAGAAATTCATCTCTATCACTCGTCCCGTATTGTTATCATCATAGAGTGCGGTTAGTTATTTTAGGTACATCGTCTACTACGATTAGTTCAAAAATTGCACCTTCGCCTTTACGATTTTTTGGACGAACAAATTCTTCTTTACCAGTCGTTTGGTACGATCATCATCATCATACAATATGATTAGTTCAAAAATCATGATTTCGTTTGGTACGAACTCTAGGACGATCTGAATTTGTCTGTATCAATTGTCTGGTACGATTGATATCGTATAGTATGACATACTATCATTAATTAAACTAATATTTGATTAACTAATCACAGGGTTTAATTTTAGCAAGATTTTAAATTTTCATACAATATGATTAGTTCAAATTTTCAATTTTAATAACTTACTTAAAGTAATCTGGCGGCTAAGATTTTGATAATAAAACGAATCGTAGATTACGATATGTATCATACATTAAGATTAATTTACATAACATGACATTTCAATTAGGCATTGAATCATTTTCTAAAATAACTAATTGTATTGTACGAATTTAATTCATATAATATGATTAGTTTAGAAACATTTTAATTTTAGAAAAAATTTTCTCTCAATTTTTTTGTGTGTGCATAGTCACCCAATTGCATACACTATAATGTGGCCTGACTCAAGAAAATGAAAAATAAAAAATAAAAATAAAAATACAAACTCTTTTGACTTTACATCCTAATATACCAAATCTTGAGTCTTTAGTCTTCTTGAGTATTGTACCTGTAATCGTTAGTGCTCAAAACACAAACAATATCTAATATATTTTCTAAGAATATATAATTCAATCAGTAGGATTTATCCTCATCAAAATCATTCAGCCTCCCATTTAATAGTACAAAGGCGTTTCCAAATGGTAGAATCACCCTTTTTAAAGAAACCATTAAGGGGATGTTTACCAACACAATACTTCTTAATCATAAATTTAGACCAAAGGCTAATATTAGATCTCATATTAAACCAAAGTTTAAAAGAAAAGCAACAAGCCATATCAGTAAGGGTTTTAAAACCCAACTTACCTTCCTCCTGGACACCCGAACAATTCTTCCAAGAAGCCCACAAAATAGCAGATTTACCGACTTTGGCCCCCCAAAGGAATTTGTTAAACATCCTTTCAAGCTTCATACAAATATTCATAGTAGGATTAAGAGTATGAAACAAATATATCGGAATGGAGCAGAGAACACTTTTAATCAAAACTAATCTCCCACCAAAAGATAAGAAATTAAAAGCCCAGACAAAAAGTTTTTTTTTGACATTAGCAACAATATCATCAAATAAATGAGGCTTTTTTCTTCCTCTATAGAGAGGGGTACCCAAATATTTAATAGGAAGAAGTTTGTGTGAAAAACCATACTGATTTTGAATAGCAGTAATTCTAGGTGGAGTAATAGACTTTGCAGTAATAAAACAGCTTTTGGAAGGGTTAAAGATTAAACCACTAGCCTTTTGAAAAAGACCAAGAAATCTAAACAAAATTTTCAGCATATTTCTAGAGCCATTAGTAAAGATAATAAAATCAAAAAGGTAAGTTGTATGAAGCTTAAATGAGAAACCAAAAAACCACCCTTAGTACGGTAATGTAAGTTCATGTGCTCTCTAAACAGATTATTAAGACCTCTAGAAATAAATTCCGAAGCCAAAATAAACAACGCAGGAGACAGTGGATCCCCTTGCCTTAAACCATGCTTGGAGTTGAAGAAGCCATGGTTTTTGCCATTAATAATCACAGAAAAGAAACAATGCTCAATGCTATTTTTAATAAGTCTAATAAACTCTTAATTGAAACCAAGAGCATTCAGCATAGCATAAAGAAATTCCCAATTAAGGTTATCATAGGCTTTGGTAATGTTAATCTTAAAAATGAGATTCCTCCCAGCAACTTTAGCTTCTAAATCATGAACAAGTTCTTGAGCTAAAAGAACATTATCAAAAATAGACCGACCTTTAACAAAGCCCGTTTGCTCAAGAGATGATATTAGGGAGAATTAAAGCCAAACGAGTCATAATAAGTTTAGCAATAAGCTTATTGAAAAAGGAACACAAGCTAATGGGACGAAAGTCACACCAATAATTAGTGGCATTACTCTTAGGAATCAACATAATGGCAGTAGAAGTAAAAAATTTAGGGTATTGGTTGCCATTAAAGAAATCAATGACCGCATTAACTAAATCATCTTTAATGATATGCCAACATTTTTGGAAAAATTTGGTAGTAAAGCCATCGGGGCCGGCAACAGAATCAGAATTCATCTCATTTAAAACTGTTTCGATCTCAGTAACAGAAGGGGTAGAAGTAAGCATAATATTGTCATCATCCTTAACGAGCATTGGGATAAAGGATAAATCCAAATCAATAGAAGGAGTAAAGTTTTTATTAAAAACCTCCTTAAAGTAATTAACACCCGACTTATAAATTAATTTAGGATTGTTAAGAAGTTGACCTTCGGGAGTGGTAATTTTGTGAATATGGCTAGTGGCTCTCTTGTGATTAACAATATTATGGAAAAATTTAGTGTTCCTATCACCCTCCGTTAAAAATTTGCTAGCCGCTTTTTGTTTCCAATAAATTTCTTCTTGTTCTTGAAGATTAACTAAGTTATCCCTGACCTTATTTAAAAGAAGCCTATTATCCTCAGTTGGAAAAATTAAAATGAACCTTCTCAGCAGACTCAACTTGTTTCTCAGCTTCCAAAATATTAGTGAATAAGTTCTTAAACACGCACTTGTTCCACCACTTTAAATTTTGCTTAAGACGCATGAGCTTAAGCCAAAAATGAGTCATGCCAGTACAATTATCATAAGGAAAAATCTGAGCCTTCCAATTGGCTTCAACATTAGTAAGAAAAGATTCATGCGTAAGCCACATATTTTGAAATCTAAAATTAGCAGGAACAATGTTATCAAGCATAGAAATATCCAACAGTAAAGGAGCATGGTCCGAAAGGGTACAAGATAAATGTTAAATATGGGCATTTTGATACTTATTAATCCAAACATTGTTAAAAAGGATACGATCGAGGCGTTGCCACAAAGTGCCTTGATTCCAAGTAAACGCATTACCAAAAAAACCAATATCATGTAAATTAGAGTTTAAAATAATATCATTAAAGTCTTCCATAGCATGAAAATTAGTAAATCTACCACCAACTCTTTCCGAGCTATTAGTGATGGTATTGAAGTCACCACCAACCATCCACGGGTCATTGATATTAGAAGCAAAACTCATAATTTCATTCCATAAGATTCTCCTATGCATTCTAGAGCAAGAGGCATAGACAAAAGAACCAACACACGAAAATTGTAAATAAGTAATATTAGTATGCACAATTTGAGGAAGATCCTTAATGATATCAAGTTTAACCCAATGTTTCCAGAATATCCAAATTTTGTTAGTGCAATTACTAAACGAGCAATCAAACCCAAGTTTAAAGTGCATGTTATCAATTTTAGACTCTGAAATCAAAGGTTCAAGAACAACCAAAACAAAAATATTATGGATCCGGCAAAGATTCATAACCCTATCCCTAGAAGGGGGGTTACCAATACCACATATATTCCAAATGAGGGCTTTAACCATTAGAAGAAGAGTTATGGGAAGCTCGAGTAACTCTAGAGGATTGACCCTCTAGAATTTTGTTACCTTTATTTTTCTTCTTCCCCACCTTAGTATAGCCCTCCTCCAAGTTTTTGACATTTAAAGGTGTAGACAACACAGTAACATCTTCAACCCCTACAGATTTCCCTAAAGCAGTTTTATTTTTACCAGGATTGATTTCTCCTTCCTCCATAATTTCTTGCTCATTTCCTTCGGCATTCTCCTCAACATCTTCCTTACCAAAAATCACTTCATACTGATTATGCACCCTCTCTTCCTCATAAGTACCATTTGAAGAATAAAGCACTTCATTCTTTTGATTAACTAATGGAATACTAGAATCCGAAGATTCTTCAACTTGGATGGCACCAGCATTTTTTAGTAAAGCAATCTGAGGTTCTGTGATGAGATGATCCCCATCTTCCTTTGCAACAACATTATTTGGAAAATCTGTAGAATCAGTTACCATGTTGTCAACCACAATGTCATTGTTAACAGGCACAGGAAAATGGTTGGATTGATTACCGCCATGATCATGCAAATCGCTGATCGGTTTCACAGTTTTCCCTTCCTTTCTCCCAATTTTTAAATTAGGGTGAGCCACATAAC